AGCTGTTTTAAAAGAGCATTCTCATTCTCAGGAGTCTTCTCCCCACCCAGCCCTTTAATCAGCTTCCTGACACCGAGAATGAGAGAATGAGAATCCTTCCCAGAAACCTTCCGCAACTTAATTAAGAGTCATGGAAGCCTTTGCGAACTCAATTAAATAATGTTAATTTAAGTTATTTAATTTATACTCTTTACCTCAGCAAACAAGTTAAGATTTAAGGTACATCATTTGTTCATCATTTATCCTTTTGCATTCTCAGATGATTTTGACTGTTTTTTTTTTAAGATATCTGGATTCTAGAAGTGTTCATATATTGTTTCCATTTTAGGGCTGTTTTACATGTCATTGTGATCAATTTAAGTGCAAGAGTGCTAATGTTTCACAAACAAGCATTTAACACTGTTTTTTGTTTAATCTTCAAACAGCTGTCAATACATGTCACCACAAGATGTTCTAAAAACAGCACAGCCATTCTCCATGTGGAAATAGTGAGTATAACACAATTTGAACCTGCTAATGAACAAGAAACTATAGAGACGCAACAGAGTAGAGCTAAGTGCATCTAAGAGCAAAGCATTTTATGAGAATATGTGTACAGAAGATCAATAAAAAGTTCTTACTGAATCAGAACAGCCTATTTTCAGCTTCCCGGGGCCTTCCGATATTCACTGAATTTAATCCTTAAAACTTGAGCCAAAAGTTCAAGCAAACTCACAGGCCACATATCATTACAGCTGCCCTTTATTTCAAACCACGAAACAACTCTTGCAAGGCCATTCAAACCATGTGGAAAAAAAGGTTTGCAGTCATGCAAATGTAAAATATCCTGATTTGAAAAATTTCACAAAAAAGCACGAAGCCTTGAGCAAAACTATATATGCCAGTGGTACAGTTTGTTGAGTCTCGTTTCCAGTCTGAAAGGATTGAAACACTTCAGAAATTCGCCAAAATAAACAGGTTTAATGGTTTAATGTGAAGAGGTCTGTGACATAAACACTGTTAAGGGATTAGGGTGAATCATCCACTTAATACAGAAAATTGTTTTTTTATGAGGACTGAGTCCTTAAACTCAGCAGTGAAATATATGACAAGACCAAAACTGATTTTAGCGATACCCTCCCGGAAGACGACAGTCTTAAGGTATTGGTGTTTAAGGTACACCCATGGAGTAATAAGAAAAAGCTGATTTGTGCATACTGAACATTCAACTCAAGCAGCATAACTGCTCAAAATTGTAATAAATGTATAACGTTAATAGCAAAATTATTTTGAAGCAGATGCACAGAAATTTTTATTGAAAAAACATGATCAAGATAATGGAAATGATCAACACATCATAAAATCCATTACGCTGATTAACATTTGTCATCAACAGGGGGTTCACTGTGAAGGTCGCAGGCCAATAGAGTGGTTACTGTTGAAAGCAACACAAGCTGTACATCTGTTATACTCTGCACCATGATGGGCTTTGTTCCTTCCTCTCACAGAAACCGGACAAGAACCTGTACGTTTTCACTGGTCTCTGAGCTCCAAATGCCTCACATCATCGGAGCTCATTGCTCAGACATTCAACAGAGCTCAGGTCTGATGACCCTCCAGGATGCCCTGCTCACATTCCTCGAGAGAGGAGTCGTGCCACAAACAGAATAAGAGTATGCATTGTCCTGCTGGAGTGGTCTCATGCCAGGATGAGCCCAGAGGATGTACATCAGGACTCTTATCATTGTACTTTCACTTTCCCATTGACTGGCCTGTTGTACACGACAATTAACACACTTATCTGCGCCACGCCTGCACTCCACATATCCATAATGGTGATGTAAACACCACATTTAATTACATTACTAAATAAAACTGGTTACAGCCGGCCACACACTGATGAAGGCAAAGCTCTCTTGAACAGCACAGCATATTGGTTCTTTTATATATTTTACTTTTTTCCGATTTTCACCAGACCTGACATTTAACAGGTTAAATCACCTGTGCCAATCACCTCTGGTCTCGCTCTTAGGGTTGTGCAATTGCTTGTCCCACTAATGAGGAGGCTTATCTCTTACCCAACATCCAAAGTCACTTACCTGTATCATGGTCAGTCATGAACGCTCTATTAACCCAAATGATACCAAAAACATTCAATCATATCCCAAATCCACTTACTTTACGCTTCTAAAAACATACATGTACAAATAGAGTAATACAAGTCTCCAGACACTCAGTTTGTCTATACACAGAAGTTTGATTGGGGAGCTACATCATTGTGCAAACTCCAAACGAACAAGTACAAGTTCGAAACGTTAAAAAAGAAAGAAGCAAAAAACATTTTTTAACAAGAAAAGTTTTTTCTGTTCGTTGAGATTCATGTTTTTATGCAATCCCTGCTTATCCTGCATCGTGCGTTTCCCTCTATAAAAATGTAGAGAAAGTTATTAACGCAATTATATAAAGGAATCATTTCCGGACTTACGTGCACTTCATGTTGCATCTCCAGTGAGTGTGGAAAGAGCCACACAACCACATGCTTTGTGGAACTCCTGCTCCATGAAGAGAAAAGGCAGGAGCTCTACACTCAGACTGCCCATTACTATGGCAAATGTCTGACAACAAAACACCACTTCGATGGGTCACGTCAACATTTTTATGTTATGTGAATCAAACCGGGGTTTTTCAGCTGTATGGGGAAGTCGGGACGCACTGTGACACGCAGTGGTGAATCCTGACTTTTAAACAGCCTAAAACACGAAATCTGCCCAATTATCTTCAGCTGTTCAACCTACATGAATAAATCTGGGCCCATGTTAGAACTGTTGTCCACTTTGTACACAATGAGGCATCACTGATAAAATATGCAACCCAGTTTTGCAAATGAGTAGCGTGCCTGTCGTTTGGCCTGCATGTCAAATTCTGTACTTTCTTAATATGGAGCAGCTCATTTAAAAAAATATCTCCTCATTAACTACTAATTGAAATCTACAATGCGACTGAACTGAAGCTGAAAGTGTAACATGCACTACGTGTGACAACACCGACTCACAGAACCACTTCTGAGAGCATTCTTAAGCCCAGTTTGATCGCTACATCAGTCAAGACCTCTCTGAAAATTCACCACAGTAAAAGTTACCCCTCCCCCAACATTAATACCACAAACATGCAGACGTTTAGGAAGTCACAGGGCTTTGTTCAAATTCTTGGCCACAAGCCCAAATACACATGCAGAAGGCTTGTTAATATTCTTAACAGAAAATTACCAGCTCTGTTGTCCTTCTATAAGAAAATGTAGTACAAACTAAAATGCTATTTATAAGAATAAAAATGTAAGTGTTTTATAAAAATAACCGATTAATCTCATTGAAGACATTAATATTGAAAGAAGTTCTTATATTTAAAGTACATAAAATATATGATAATATTTGATAATATAGACAGGTATATTTCTTGCCTTTTATTGATTTAAATGTTTGTTTTAATGTAATATATCCTTGTACAGCTCATTACATAGTGCTTTAAAAACACAATTTGACTGACTGATGGACTGATACCATCACCATTACCCCAGGCACAGAGTTAAGTATTTTGAAGTAAACAAGCAGCTAAAGTTGCTTGTAACTAGACACTATCACAATGGGCATCTAAGAAGACCAGCAGCAGTAATTACTGGTAAACAGCAAACACTACCAAAATGTACAGATTCAAAGGAAAATAACAGAAATAAGGGAGTAACAGCACACACGCAGCTTCCAGAACAAAAACCCAGCTCAAATTTGGAATGTTAAACTAATTCATGAAAACTTTTAGGACCCAAAACTTTGACAAATTTATGACTGACCTTGTGCTTTTACAACATGTAATGAAGAAAAGGAAAAGCTCCAGTAAAATAAATTAAAATCTGTTTTCTTCTCTGCTTGAATGAAATGGATGAAGTAAAGGGAAAACAAGACCAGTGAATTACCTGTGGAGAGCCCTGCATGCGCTTTGTACTTTCTTATTTTACATCTTTTATGCCTTTTGCACCCCTCACTTTTCAAGGATGTACTTTAAAGAATGTTTTTTTAAAAAAAACACGCTTGTTTCGATTTTCTCTGTCAACACAGACGCCTTATAAACATCGCCTTTAGGCAGAAGTGTATCAACAATCCTCCCACGTTCAAAGTCGGCTACATCTGTAGCTCTTTTCCATTGTTGAAAATGCCTCCCTTAATCCTTTTTGACTTTATTCATGCAAAGGTCATCTCAAATTCTACAAATGGAGAAGCGAAGGCAGCAGCCAGTCTCAAACATGGCTGAAGAACGCTGTGGTAATCCTCAAAAACGGAGTGTCTGCGCTATCTCATAGATGCTCAATGTATGTGAAAAGGCTTTCAACCAATATGACAGCTATTCTGTATGTATTTACAGGGAAATCTCTACAGTTTATACAGGAAAACGACAAAACATGACTTCTCAGTTGGCTTAAATTAGCGATTTTTTTTTATGCCGCTTTCCAAAACACACACCACCAAGCATGATTTCAGTCATAGGTTTCTCCTCCTGGCAACCGATTACACGCCAGTGAATCATGATAATTAAATGTATTTAGAACTTGGAGGGCATCTCATCTGCGGTCACACACAAGTGCAGCTGGGTGATAAACCCCTTAAAATAATTAAATACGAGGTAAATTATTTTTTTTTTTAAAAGAGAGAAAGAAAAAAAATACAGCCAAGAGGAAAAGCCTCTCTCCTCATTACCTCACTGCGCCTTAGCTCACTACACTACTGAAAGAGAGCTACGACTCTGCCTACACTAAGCCTGGAGATCTCTCTCATTCCATGTGCGCGAATCAGTCATTTAATAAAATACATTTTAGTTGCAAGCGCAATGCTGTCCCTAAAACCATCAATATATAGGTAAGCCTTTCCCCCCAAAAATAAAAAAAAAACTTTTTTTACACTGATTTAAATATGCTTGTGTCTTGTATTGTACTGTCAGTGTGCGGTCATTGACATCGGTGCCGAGCGCCTCACCTTTGGGGAAGGCCGTGGCGCCTCCTTCGCTGCAGGAGCAGGGAAAGCGGCAGACCTCCCGGCGACCGTCTCTGCCGTGCTGGCAGGAGGCGAGGGCGCCCTCCTCTTCTTGGCCCTCTCGGGTTCACCGTCGGCTGGGGGGAGCAGCAGGCCGCTCGGCGACAGTGCCTTGGGCTCGTAGAAGGGATTGGACCTGTGGGATCGAAGCGACTGTGCTGTTCATTTCCACCCTTCCACCCTGCGTGCCAGGGCCGAGAGATGGTCAAGCCAAGGACCCTGACAGACGCCAATAACAGTGCAAAACAAAAAAAAACATCTCAAATAACGACAAAACAATCCACCTGTAATTCCCAGTAAGTGGAATAATGAAGCATTGAGCCTTGAGTCAGATGGACTATAGCAACTAAATCTTTTTAGCATGAAGCAGATACAATTAAGTACTTGATTCAGGTTGATTATTAATTTAAAATCCTGAAAGGCACTGTCCAAGTCAATTCGGGGGACAGCATCATACTAAGGTACAGGGGTACAAGTGGAGGATTGTGGGATTGGCGAACCAACTCCCAAGTGACTGAAACACCGCCAGTCTCAAAGCATATGCAGCTAATGTTTCACTCAAATGAACTTATGTTTGCAATTATGTTACTGAAGAAAAGAAAAACAATGTTGTGTGGTTCAAAATAATTGAAGATGTCAATAATTGTAGAACTGAAGAGAAAGTTGACATGCCTACAAGGAGCTACTTTCCAAAGAGCAATAGCAATAGTTGTAGAAGTGATTGTTTTAAGTTTTTATATCACTGGCATTCAGCGAATAGTATTTCCTCTTTTCAATGTTTATTTTTTATCGCGCAACATGGTTTTAACCTTTCTTTTTCACAATTATGTTTCCCAGTTGAAAACACTAGAATTCTGCTTAATATGTAGCTACTGTAGGTGAGCAGCTTCTCACAGATGCAGTGATAAGGTCATCAATCCCTCACCTACAATCTACAGGTGATGCTGATCACCAATCTCAAAGCCCATATAACGTGCTTTACAGTGCTACAGTTTACCAATTGATATACATATACACCCATTCCTTAGTTTACAAATGTAATTCATTTCTCAAAAACTGTTCACCACCAGAAAGAGAAGTTTCACACAAGGAAAATTAAATTCCCATTATTTGACATGTAAATACAAACGACTTGCCTCCTACAGAAAACACCCCTGTATTACTTATTGTTATCTTCAGAGTAGTGAATCGTCAAAATAAGGGCACTACTGTATTGCATGTTTAGGATAATTAGCCAATTTAGTACAACAGTTAACAAGACAAAATGTATTAAAATTGTGAACTGTTGAACATATGACAGCACAACAAATTTCAATGCAAACATCTTTCAACTGCATGGCTTTTTCAATCCTTGAGGTTTACATAGTGGGGAAAAAAACATACAATACTGACAGGTTAATCAGTACATTTACTGATTTAGCATCTAGTCAAGACAGAATGATCACCAAATTGCATTTTAATCACCCATAGCAAATTAGTTTGACACCCCTGTGCTGACATGACATGACATGTTTCTAGTGCCACCGGGTGGCTGCATATTGTAAATGCAGCAAGACCCAAAGGGACCACACCTAAACAACAACAAGCTGCCATAAGCAAAACCTTGACCCTGTCACTGAATCTACAAGAGTAACGTCAGGAATGGAAACTTAAAACTCAGTCACAAAAAAAAAAATTGCGTTCAATTTGTTTTGCCATCAACAGATAAGAAATTACAAAGTTCCAGAATGACTATATTGCAATTGATCCATATAATGGCTGGCTTGGTAACTACGGGCCAGGTGCTTAGGGTCAGCTGTCATTGACCCCATCTCTCCTGCCGTACCAAGACACTTGACAAGGAAACAAACAGGCAGATCGTATCAATGCACAGCTTGTCTCGGTGGTCAGGCCCACCTCCTTGGCGGATCTGTCACTCAGTGTCTTTGACAAAAGGGAAAGAAAGCAAGAAAGCATATCTAGGTACCCGGGTGAAAGATAAGGTTAAAGGTACATAGGCCTAACCTGCCAGAAGGAATAAGGACCACAGAGGCGTGTTCAGTGCGTTGCCGGAGAAACACATTAAACAAAACTAAAGTAACTGAAAGAGTAGTCAAAATAAAAGTTTAAAGAGAACATCCTTCACGCACAATGTGCAAAAGAAAACAGAAACACTGACAATTTAGGGCTGCCAGCAGAATGCTTCACAAGTCATTTCCAACTTCATGGCAGGTTTGATAAACTATACATAAAGACTGTAAGAGCGCAGAGACAGAGGGAAAGGGGCGAATGGGCAGATTAAGTTAAACAACACTGTGAACAAGTGCCTCTGTGTTCTCATGGCCTGTCGGGCCACCCCTCCGTGAGGTGACCTCTTGCAGATCTGTGTGAAGTAATGAATGTGCTATGGACCAGGCCACGACAGCCTGCTGTCAACACACCCCATGGACCGCAAGACAGCACATATATTGAAACAGGATACGAGAGGAAAAGATTCACATACTTTTTTTAAATTTTAAACTTACTCATCCAGTTCCTCGTCCTCATTTTTAGAGGTATCTGCATACAGGTATTTGCTCATATCCACCGGGCGCACATTCTTCCTCTTGGAGAACTTAGGAGGAGACGGTTCCATCTTTGTGTCCCTGACTGGTTCTGGTTCTGGCTCCGGTTCCGGCTCGTCAAACGGATTGCTGTACTGCAGAGTTTCAGCCCCCACCTCATCAAAGGGGTTTGAGGAGTCAGGACTGGAGAACAGCTCTTCTTTCTTTTGTTGAGTAACTGTAATTTTGGGTGGCTCTGTAGTAAACAAATCACAAATTGCAAGAAAAAGAACTTCACAGCAAAGTGATTTGCATTTCAAGACTTTTAAAGCCTAGCAAAATATTAAAAACAATCAAAATACAAGGTAAAAGGTATACAGTAGTTTGTGGTCAGAGCAAAAAATTATGAGAAGAACAGGGGTAATTTTAATTGCAATCTCTGATCACAACACTTACACCATGTATCCAAATTGGTCAACAGTGAACTCAGGTGAAGGCGTTTGCGCTTTAGGAAAATTAAATCATGAAATCATTCCATTACCTTCGTCATCAGGTTCCCCAAATGGATTTAACTCGGTGTCGTCTGAATCGCCAAATGGGTTTGCGCTCATGTTAGAAACGTCTTGATCATCGTGTTCCAGGAAGTTAAGTTTACTGATGAGCTCTGCGAGAAGCCCAGTCAAAAAAAAACAAAAAAAGTTAATACTGCTGGCAAAGTGATGGGGATCTGCCTGAAAGCATGGCTCCTTCACAACGCAATGGACAAGAAAGAATGAAATCTGCACTTTGGAGTGAACCACTAATAGGAAATATTTTTTCTTCGACAATATTCCTGTACGATTTCCTTCACTGACATTTTAGCTCCTGATTCTGTTACACTGTAGAGGCGGACAGAAGTACAGATTCCAATACCACTGCCTTGTACAGCACAGTGTTACATGCTTGTTTATGCTCCCTTGCTGAGTGTCAGAAAACACATTGGATTAATGATAAGGCGTCATTTGAATGGATAAGGACAGTCACATTCTTTCTGACACAAGGCTTCAAATGTGTCCATATTTGGACATCAGAGCTTCAAAATGGTACACTGTTTGCAAACAGCCTGAACACACAGTGCTTGTGCTATTTATTTTTATTAATAAGAAAGGTACACCATTTTTGATTTTTATGAACACAAACTGTCAACTCTGGCTCTTACATACGGGGAAAAAATCCCATCTCCAGTTTTACCTTTAAGCTTAATATTCTGGAAAGCCTCGATGTATCTAGCTCATACTTCTGTTAAAATTGGTCATAATGTTAATAACCGTAATGTCCAGTTACCATCCAATTAAACAGAATATTTAATAACACTCTTAAACAATAAGAAAAACTTCAGAAAGTTTTCTAAAGGTTGAAAAAGATGTATTCAGGGCCAGGATGGCCTTTTTTTCCCATGTATTTCCACTTCCCCTGTATTTTGTGAGGAGGCAGCGTTTGTTCTTTATGGTTCACATCAAATTGCAGAAAGCCAAACAGAGGGAGACAGAAAACCAACGAAGATTATCTGACAACAAATGGACAAATCGAGTCAGGCACCACAACCACAACACTACAGGAATGGCAGAAGACAGAAGAAGGAAGATGAAAGCTATTAGACCTTCAGAAGAACTGGCTGACTTAGCAGGTTTATTTGCTTGCTTTACGTAGTCATCTGGGTCTTCATCTAAGCTGCTGAGGGCATTCAACTGGTTTACTATTTCTGTAAACAGAAGCCAGTCAGGAAAACATTAAGCAAACTGGACACAGAAAGAAAGGCTACAGAGGCAGATAGCGAAGAAAAATAAATCTGTCTGGTCATGCCTGCATTTGAGATGTTTTTCTTCTTTTTGCAGTTTGCAATTTGTACAGCAGAATGTCGTTAGCTGTGTATGATGTGTATGATGCCTCTCAAGCTCTGTCAAACTGCCATGAGCACTGGACAATCACAACCACACCCCAAGGTGAAATCTATTCTTCCCACACAAAGGTAATGTACTAGGACAAAAAAAAAAAAGAAAAGAGCCCAACTGGCTACACCAGCCATGGGCAATGAAAAGAAATTGATAGTTCTGGCCATTTGCTTAAATTTACATGACCCATCCATTCTGCATTCGTCATTGGCAAGCGGTCCTCTATGCTGATTAGGTTGCCTGGAACATGCATGAAGCACTGTATCGAGATTGCATGCATTACTCTAAGAAAACTGGGTAGGCCAAGCAAATTCCCAACATAAATTAGCCTCTTGGTGTTGAGGAGATGCAAACTTAAAAGCGCAACTTGGATCAGAAGAGCAAAAGGGAGAAGGAAAAAGAAACAGGTGAAAGAAAGCAGAAAGCCAGCTATGTCACACTGAAACAAAACATAAATAAAGCCAAGACATAAATAAACTCAACATAACGGCAAATCAAGCACTGAAAAAAAAAATTAAAACAATCCAGCTTATACACTCTCCAAGATCCAGTTTCCATGTAATGCAGGAATTACGTTAGGATGTTCTGTGCATGTGAACAGACTGTGTTATCAGCACATAAATGGCTGCTTGCATCAGTGAAATATTTTTAATGCCTTTCTTGCCAGAGAGCATAATACAGAAACTAAGCAAAAATATAAACGTAGGAGCTATACAACTCTATATAACCACTCTAATACACCATTTTAAATTAAGGCCTAGTTATATTAATGAGAAGATAACAGGTGCTACTCGTTTGTGTTCATTCATTAAAAAAACAGGCTTTTGGAATAATATATCATGAGGCTCTAACAGGTGATAGGCTGCTTAATCTTGTGTTTGCAAATGCAGTGCAAGACAGCCAGAGGGCTGTGTGGCTGCATTTTCCTGAGTGCTCGGTACAGCTGCCATGGAGTGCTTGGGCCTGCTGGGCACTGGTCCTCAGCGGTTAGCACTGTGCGCTGTGAAGGAAAAGAGAGCCAGGGATCGTTTCCGCTCCACAGGTGACCTTTGGCAAGCTCCTTCACCTGCTTGTGCCTAGTTCTCAAACCACTGGAAAAAAAAGGATTACAAGCAGGGCTCCACCAGCTAGCCAGTGTGCCATCTCAGCTGGGGTGCTTCTGGGGAAAGGTTTTGGGGAAAAGGATAAAAAATAAATAAAAACAACTAAACAAAAACTCCTCTTTTCTGGGAAACAATAGCCCTCAAAGGCATACGCACAGAATTGTGACAACACTTTGCCCCGTGAATAAAAACAATATCCTCTGAGATAAACGTTGTGCTCCTGTATTTATACATCACAGGGTCAGCTCATGTCTGGTGGCCTGAAAGGGTTTGGAACGCAACTCTTTCCATCATGGACTTTCCAAACCACAACTACCTCGGCGACCCTGAGGACAAACACTTCAGGGAGAGGTGACTCCAGGATCTCTCGCCCCTGACCGACTGTCGGGCCAGAAGGTGGGATCTCAGCAGCTGCAGCTTTGGCAAGGGTCTAGCAAGACTGCCCCCAACCTCAAGCCCTCTGGGACCTTGAGCTCTGTCAAACTGCTCATCTTTAGCCTATTAAGGCTGAAAGCCCACTGCAAAAAAAAAAGGGAAGCCAATTAAACACCTACAGAAGGGCGTCCTTTTTCGGAATGGACATCTGGCCTTCAGAGGTTAAAGTCAAGTCAGGGTAGTTCTTTTTTCCCTTTGTAACTGAATCTCTTTTCCCCTGCTAAATGGGTTTCAAGTGCCCCACCTGTAATCTTTGCTGCCTTTTCGTCTTGGTTCACTCTGTTTTCTTCGTCCTCCTCATTCTCCTCTTCAAAGTCGTCCAGATTGCCGATGTCAGCCTGCTTCATGCTCATCAGGCTGGCCAGGCTCTGCATGTCTTCATCCCTGGGACACAAACCAAACAACACGAGCTTCTGTCATTGCCAGGGCCCTGACGGAACCAAGCCGCAGCCTGAATTCTGCCCTAGTAGAAGGACTCTCAATAAACCTTTAATACCCTGTTATTAATTCCACTCCTTACTGGGTTTTAGCAGCAACGCATACACCCACAACTGTATCTCTAATGACAACATTAAAAAAAGGGTTGTGTGACCAAGTGACAATACTAGACCGTTTTTCAGCCTCAGTTTTATTTTTGCATGCGTGTATCTCATAGACGCCTCACAAAATCAAATCGGGAATACATTTGGCACTGGAGGGACATTCCACTCTGAGCAAACGTCCTTCATGCTTTGTACTCGAGGTCCTTCATGGCACACAAACCAGCAGCACGTGTATTACAGTGGAAGTGCAGGTAAGCAGGAGATAACATGAGAGGATTTACAATCAGACCTTACGGTTCCCTCTCACTCCCTCACCCTTGCCCTGTCTCTCTCTCATGTTGAATTTGCAATTAGCAACTCCCAGAGACGTCAGAGGCAACTGACAGATCGCATGGAGAGTTTTCGGACTTCTGGATGAACTATTAGAAAAGCTACAGTAAAATATTACGTCAACTGTTTTGTGGTATATTCCAGGACTAGTAAGGCTCTTGGTTATTTTGCTAAAATTCTTAAATGAAGGACGTTAGAATACAATTTGCCTTGAAAGTATAACATTTGTGCTTCCATACTGTGGGCCTCCTAGTTGAGGGGTGGTTTGCACTTCTGCCTCACAGCTCCAGGTTGCTGGCTGGATTCGTGCTGGGACATTAGTCTGTGTGGAGTCTGCATGCTATCCCTGTGTCTGTGCAGGGCTTTGGTAGGGAGGAGGAGGGGGGGTTTGGTAGGCACTGGCCATGGGATCATAAGACTATATGAAAAAGAACCAGATGAGTTCAAAGGGGGTATGCATAAAGATAGCAATTAATTACTAGAAATCCATTGACATGAATGTCTTAAGAAAAAAAACAAAAAGAAAAACAGGACTAGTGCGGATAATGAATTAAATCATCACTACGGGTTAAAGTTTTTTCTTCCATAGGTGAACATCCCTAAGCCAGGTACCTACAACAGAAAAGAACACACTGCAGGTCTATAAAAAAAACAGATCAATCCTAAATTAATCATTTCTACTAATTTGATGTAACAACACTAAAAACAACAAATTGCTGCAGATAATAAAGGTATTGTTGTGTTTTTTTACTAGAATCTTTAACAGGTTAAAATCGGCCTCGAGGGTTTTTTTTGCCGTGGGACAGGATTTCATTTCCCGAAAAAAAACAAAAAAAAACCCAGCGCCTGAGCCAAAGAGAACAGAACCTCTCGTGTTACTATCTCAGTCGCCAAGCCCTCTGACAAACTGACAGCACCGTGTTCTCAAGATGTTAATCTAGAGACAGGCGAACCCGAGTCGCCGGGAGTGGGTGACATTCAGCGCGCAGCCCAGGCCGGGACAGTGAAACAAGTCACTTTCACTCCGAGGGACAAGGAGGAGGAATGCTGGGAATGTGCCGGTTGTCAATAGGAGCCGTCCAGCCGCTGTCACTAAGAGAACAGCGAAAGTGCCATTTTGTACTGCAATCACTCTCTGACTGCGTGCACTTGGGATGCTCAAGCTAATTAAAGATGCTTTGGAAAGCGGGAATCTTTGGGGAATAAACTTACGTGGCTTTGCCCTCCCGCAGGAAGATGCAGGACAAAGAGAACTGCAGCGTGGCGGATACCACTTTCTTAGACAAAGGCTTGAATCTCAGCTTCACATCGGTCTGTGTTGGCATCGGGCTGGCATACTGCTTCATGTTGATACTGCTGGTAGCCAGGGCTTTTCGACGCCCAGAAGGAGATTCCTGGGGAAGAGAGGTGGGGAGGGGAGGGAGGCAGAAGGGAGGGGAAAATCAATTTACATTTCACCTCAAATCCCACCTTGTCAAGTCATACAACAAACCGGATTTCTTCTCAGTGAAAACATTCAGGCAAAAAAGCTCACCATTTCTAAAATCAAATATAACTAAAGCATTATCTAACCTCAGCTAAGCCTCTTTGTCAATATACTTTCCTGCAATACAAATATGCATTAGATTGTAACTGCCTGCAAAACATTCTGCTCCAAAGCTGTAAAGAGACAAAAGATTGCAAAACGCACAACTAAAGTGAACATGATGGGAAATCGAGGAACTCACAATATGCATTTCAATAATTAATTATTCTCTTTTTCTAACAACACGTTATAGAAATAAATTAGACCAAATCAAAAGGTTATAGAAAATAACAGGCAAGGAAATTAGTTTTTAAAGTATTTTAGCCCGGGATGTGGTCAAAGGAAATTTGTTTCCATGACAAATTGGGACAGCTGGAATGGGGATCAAAATAGGTATATTTCAAATTCTTCAAGCAGGAAAAGTATCAATTGGTACCTAGAGTGGGAGACGCCATGTGAAAAAAGTAAGGTCATTTTAAACGAAGACAAACTGCTAATTAAAACAAGCCTCCCATTCAAATGGAGATCAACTTGATCTCAAGCACTTGATGAAGACATCTTCAAACTGATGTTTTTAACCCAGTTAAATGAAGACATACCAGAAACCTCATTAAAAACGCTCAAAACATTCTTCATCTGACAAGGCTAACCTTGTGTTGTGACTTTCTGAACACAGTCACTTATGTTCTCCTTTGAAACAGGGTGAATACTTTCAAAAAGATTTTTTAATTACCGGTGGGAATTATTCAAGTAGTTGCTCTTGTAGTGTTTTAACCCTGTGCAGTTCTCACAAAGAAGGAAAAGAAAGAAAACGAGAGCTCCTGCTGTCATTTGGGAAAAAGCCGAAACCGAAAATAACTGAACATTTAAGATTGCTTTTTTATCCCAATAAAGTGACAGAGATGGGCACCAAGCACAAATGTAACTATAGGAACAATCCTAACAGAAAAAAAGACATTCAAATTACCATATACATGTTCCATATGTAGCTCATTCAAACTGCTGTTTCGCTGATAATTAAGGAAGAAAGAATAAAAGTACCATCATGGAAAAGAAAATCTCTACAAGCCCCAAATCTAAAATAAAAAAAAGTTAATTTTGAAAACAGATGGGAACACTTTGGGTGACTGACTTTTATTACAGTATTTTATAATTGTAAAATAATAAAATACAAATCAAATGAATACTTCAAGAACTACTATACCAGTGATAATCACCGGTAGCTGTCAATTTCTGTGATCTCAGTCTATGGAGTTTTGGTTTAATGTTACCTCAAGAATAAATACCAGTTCTTAATTCAGGACAAATTTGTTCTCACTTTAAAACACTTTGCCAATACATATATTGTCTGTTCCGGGCAGCTGGGTGGTCCTTGTCTCAGTGTTCTTCCAGCCTCTACCACTGTCCCACATTTGTGAAATAAATCTTGAAAATGTATAAATGTATAAATACAAAAGACAAGGTTCAGATTGTTTTAAACTGAAGATGAATTCAGTAAACCGGCAAAAAATACAGTACACTGACAAAAAAAACTTCCACACAAAGGATGTGCAAATGAAACATTCATTTACAGTTGTATTAAAAAAAACAACAAAATTGTCAACTTTCACATTCAATAAAACAATTAACAACCATGTACCATTAAGGAAAAAAAATGTAGAGTTACTTAGAAGGTTTTGAAATAAATAGCACTGAAAAGGCTCACTGGGAGTCAAAGCACTGTAAATAACAGTATGAATCAAAGTAATGCATTTTCTACATCATTCTCTCTCCACAACCAACAGTCTCCCCTTCACAGTTTACATGAAATGGATAAATATTAACAATCCTTTAGGTTAAAATGCCAACTATTATGACAACTATGTACTCATCTTACATGAATGCAACTGTTTTTATTTGTGCGATAACCCAGAACACATCCACCTGTTTGCAAGCATTCGTAGGTAAAATGAGTTTTTAATTTCTTAGTTTGGATTATGTGGCACCTTTCAAGAATGTAACTACAGTGTAAATTGAGAAATACCTGTATTTGATGACGCAAGTCCTTGCCAGTTCAGTTTATATACCTGCAGAGCAACATTTTCCTGACAAAGGAGGAGTGACGACCAGGCCTGTCTGACCATCGATTGCAAACGTCAGAACTATTAAGCCAGTTCAGCTCTCACGTAGAAACTACACAGTAAATGTGTTGTTCAAGAGGAAATGCTTCAATACAGAATGATGAACTATATCCCAAAGTTCCTGTGCCATTTACAGGAAATTGATGCAGTTAGTTCACCTGTACTGCTGGGTTCGGTTACAGGCCACTTGTACACAATTATGGTGACCAGGGCTATGGACAACATATTACCCTGTTCCTGTTGGCAGGTTTACAATTGTCCTGCCTTATACAGTAGATGGGCATTCTTCTCTGTCTCACAAATGTCTGTTATACACCTGTACAGCTCTGCAGCCCCAGGACACTGAAATAGTTTTCAGGACACTCTACTCAAAGCGCTTTACAGGCAATGGAGACTCCCCTCCACCAACACTAATTTGTAGCCCCACCTGGATGATGCGACGGCAGCCATAGTGCGCCAGAACACTCCCCACACATCAGCCATCAGTGGGGAGGAGAACAGAGTAATGAAGCCAATTCATAGAATGCTAATACTATAACCATACAGCATAGTCTCAATGCTCACTGAGAAAGGATACTGCAACATCAAGATTTAGAAAACCTCCCAGACATGTGTACTGTAGGTGTAGCACAAAGTTTTTTTTGGCACTTAAATAAGGCTCTTTTATTAAATGTAAAGCCTATGATTAATTAAATGTTATGTGGCAATGCATCCTTCTCCAACCAATTCATAATAAATATGACCCAGAAGAAAGAGTTCTTTAGGGTCTTCTCATTCCAAAGATGTCAGGTTTATGGCTTGGGTTCATATTACTTTGATGTTTTTTTTCTTCTTCTGGAGGTCTTTATCTCTTATTGCTTATTCATTAATTAATATCATACAAAAATTCATAAAAAGTGTAAGGTTTAAAGAACACGCTACACAACATTTTCAAAAGTATTTCAAATTGTACATACTAATGGAGGAGCTTTTTAAAAAACTGTTACGATGGGACATAAGAATTGCAAGTGATTCAGGAAAGATCTGTGAAACACCCCTACCTGCACCTGACTAAGAATGTGGATTTCAAACCAAAATACATTTGCAGAGGAAAAAAGAATAAATTAAAATCTCTTTGTTAGATATCAAATACACAACTTCCAAATCCTACAGATGAAAAGCCACAAATGGAGAAAAGCAGCATCCCATAATCATAAAAATGGAAACTTCCATGTTTCTTTTTTCCAGAAATCAGACTTAATTAACACTATCTATGCATATTCTTAGGACACAAACAAAATATACAGATTATGTATAATAAATGTTTTAGGCAACATTTTGATTAATCATTCATGACTGAGATACACGAGCGATTTTGTTGCTTAAGCACTTAATAACCTCATTAGAGAGAGTTGATTGGGCACAGGTGATAAGCGATTTAACCCATTAAATGTCAAGTCTGGAGAATCTGAAGAAAGAAAAATACAGAGAGCAGCCAATGTGTATGGCTTATCAAGAGAACAGCACCTTTGTGCCATCGAGGTCTTCGAGGTTGGAATAAGTCTCCTTAGGTGTGAAGAGTGACACAGAAGTGCAGGCTGAGATGCTAACTGATGCGTGCAACGGGACAATCCATATGAAGTGGTAATCTGAGCTGGAGTGTCTAGGTGCTACAGACCTTCACTGATAGTGATTGATGGCGACCTGATCGAATGGCTGTACACTGGTGATGCCCTAGGACCTCTCTCGTTGCCCCCTCCTGTGGGCTCATCCCAACGTGACAACGTCAGCTATACAACATGCACACACCAGCGGCTCCCGAGGATGTGTACTGCCCATTGCTCGGTTAACAACAGCTTCCCTGACAGTAGAGACTGAGACAATTACACCTACATAGCCACCGACTACATCACCCTGTAACTCACAGCTGGCAACCCACTAAAGCTGCTGTAAGCAGGTGTGAGCCTGGTCTGTTCCTGGATGGGATACCTCCTGGGAAAAACTAAGGTTGCTGCTGGAAGAGGTGTTAGTGGGGCCAGCAGGGGGGTGCTCACCCTGCGGTCTGTGCCCAGTATGGTGACAGGAACACTATAATGTAAAAATGTGCCGTCCTTCGGATGAGACGTAAAACCGAGGTCCTGACTCTCCGTTGTCGTTAAAAAACCCAGGGCGATTCTCGAAAAGAGTAGGGGTGTAACCCCAGCGTCCTGGTCAAACTTCCCATTGGCCTTTACCAACCATGGCCTCCTAATAATCCCCATCTACGAATGGCCTTCATCACTCTGTTCTCCTCCCCACTGATAGCTGGTGGGTGGGGAGTGTACTGGCACTCTATGGCTGCTGTCGCATCATCCAGGTGGGGTTGCACATTGGTGGTGGAGGGGAGCCCCCATTACTTGTAAAGCACTATGTGTGGTATCCTGAAAAGCACTGTATAAGTGTAAGCAATTATTATTATATACCAGACATGAGACCCCCTGAACTTTTGTGGGATGAGCTAGCATAATGTGTAGCATCTACGGCTCAGAGACCAGTGAACTGCTTGTCAAGGCTCTATGGAAGGAATAGGACAGATCACCACAAGACAGCATTTTCATCCTGGTGAATGCATCAGAGATGACCAGCTTGTATAGCTTCCAGCAGTAGTCATACATGCTACAACTAGGCTGTGATTTTCACAGTAGAGCCTCTGACAAACAGCATAAAGGACGTACTTTAATCCTGCACACACTACAAAAAGGATAAATTTATTCATAAATGTAAACGTTAC